GGTCACTCGACGTTGCTCAAGTTGCAATGCTACTTAATGCACCCAAACCACCGGTGTGTAGTTTAACACCACTGAACTCTCACCACACTTACTAAGCACTCAAAGAATATGACAGTGGTTTACTCATATAATCATTAAGAATCTGACGGGATATGTTCTTATCTACATGATCTTCAATCCAAACGATAATTCCTCAATTAACTACACATTCCAATGTCTGTCTTTCATCACTTTTGCAGCATTTGTTGTGGTCGCACACTTAGCACTTGCTCTATGCTCTCGGCGGGGCGTGGCGCAAGTGTTCCCGCAGTCGTAGGTGACAGGCCCAGGGCATACACCGGGCGCCCAGACCGCTGGCAAGCATCGCACGAACATAACACGATCATTTTCACCTCTAAAACTGATGGTTGGCCGAATTTTCTTCGGGCATTAGGCACCACCATCACTACGTACACGCGTCGCACTCATGTACGCCACAGGCTACTGAAGTCCAACACCAGCAGATACATAAATGTTTCCCTTGCGGGCTGCTACCTCCACAATGGCGTCGTAAACACAGAGGAGGTCGCTTAGAGAACGGGACGCCCGAGGTCGCTTAGACTTCAGGATGGATTTGTTTTGTTTATAAATATATCTAAATGTGTTAACAAAATTGATTTCAAATTCACATATTTTCTTTAAACAAGATGTGTGCAAAGTCACTGCTCTAACCTGGGTAGTTACTGCCGTTACCTGGGTAGTTAATGCTGTTACCTGGGTAGTTACTGCCGTTACCTGGGTAGTTACTGCTGTTACCTGGGTAGTTACTATTATTACCTAGGTAGTTACTGTGTTAACTGATCACTATGATAATCTATCGAAGCTTATTGTACCCGTTGCGTTCAATTGAATTCTTTTGACTTTCAAAGTTTCAGTTGAATCTGACCTTGGAGTTGTGGATGGAGGTGGCTTCCACAACTTCTTCTTTAATAGCATTCCACTTGTTGACAAACCACACACATTTGTTGAGTATTTCCTTACGTTCCTTCGGCTCGTCTGCAATTTCCAGCTTCAATATGTGTCCCCGTGTCCTAATTTCTCTCAATTTCCTTGTCTACCTTGTCTATTCTTCTCAGTATCGTGGATGTTGTGATCATAGCCCCTGTGTTTCTGCTATTGTCTAAGGTTGTGAGATGTTCCATGGGCTCTGGTACCAGGTTTGTTGTGGGTTTCTGTGCTGGTTCATTCTTGTCTTGTGCGTTACATGGTGTGGATTCCATGCTGGTGATGCGTACTAGTCTAATGTTGTGTGGAGTCAGGAGTCCGGATTTAGATGATGGTTGTGGTGGTTGTGGTGCAGGTGGTGGTGGGAGTGGTGGTTGTGGTGTGGAGTGGTAGTGGTGGTGGTAGTGGTGGTTGTGGTGGGAGTGGTGGTTTTGGTGTGGAGTGGCGTGGAGGTGGTTGTGGGAATGGAGGTGGTTGTGGGAGTGGTGGTGGTTGTGGTGGTGGTGGTGGTAGTGGTAGTGGTGGTGGTAGTGGTGGTGGTGGTGGTGGTGGTGGTGGTGGTGGTGGTGGTAGTGGTGGTGGTAGTGGTGGTGGTGGTGGTAGTGGTGGTGGTGGTGGTAGTGGTGGTGGTGGTGGGAGTGGTGGTGGGAGTGGTGGTGGTGGTAGTGGTGGTGGTGGTAGTGGTGGTGGTGGTAGTGGTGGTGGTGGTGGTGGGAGTGGTGGTGGTGGTGGTGGTAGTGGTGGTGGTAGTGGTGGTGGTGGTGGTAGTGGTGGTGGTGGTAGTGGTGGTGGTGGTTGTGGTGGTGATGATGGTGGTGGCGGAAATGATGGTAATTCGTCTCTATCAGCGGAGGAGGCGCCTAGAGGGCACTCGCCACATCTTCACCACGATCCATCTTCCTCGCCGTCTTCCTCCTAGTAGAGGGGAGCTGAGGGGACACTCATCTGAGGGAAGGCAACCACATCCTGAGGGGAAGAAAGAAGGAGGAGGAGGAGGAAGAGGAAGAGGGATTACTGAGAGGGGGAGAAAAAATAAATAAATTCGACCCATTAAATACCACCGACCTAACGGGCCGCACTTCTCAGCAACCACCACCACAACCAACCACCCCCTACCATCCCCCTCAACAACTCACCATCCCACGCCACAGACCCAGAAATGACACCAATCGGTCACCATGTATAGGTGTCAGCCTGGCTCAGATGAAAAGCTGAGTTTTTTTTTCTAAAGTGTACCCGTGAAATTTGTCCGTATTCACGGCTCTTGGGGTCAGACTGTGGCTCTCAAAATGTCAGTGTTATACATTTGTTTTACAATGATGCAGAGAGACCACATCTTTCCAAGGGGAAATATGGTGAACAGTTTTATCAGGGTTAAGAGACACATTCAGTTTCAGAAGACTGTGGCTTGTGGGGGACAAACAAAGTCTCAACATACCAGTACAAGGTCCATTTGACAGGAAGAAAGACGTATACGCTTTACACAGGACGTATTGGCTTTACAATGCCACTTTGGTGGACGGTCTGTGACGTACAAACACATATGAGTCGGATCTAAACACATATCTGAGGGTGTTAGTGTCTGTCTATTTCAAGACATCCTCCGAGGATGTCTTGAAATAGACACGAAAGCGCTCAAGCATTTCCTGTTTCATTATCCTTCATGGATATATATATATATATATATATATATATATATATATATATATATATATATATATATATATATATATATTATGACAGTGTCTGACCAGGAAGGAAAATCGAAACAGGAATTTCCTTAAGTACTTTCGTATAATAATACATCTTCAGAAGGAGTCACTCCTTCTGAAGATGTATTAATATACGAAAGTATTTAAGGAAATTCCTGTTTCAATTTTCCTCCGTCGTATATATATATATATACATATATATATATATATATATATATATATATATATATATATATATATATATATATATATATATATATATATTACAAATACGCTTCGTAAATGCCCACCATTTTCATGTTTCACCGTAACATTATTGAAAGCGTTTCAAAATGATTTACAACATTGGAAAAAAAATAGGTTGTAGAATGAAGGGTTGATCCATAACACAGCCGTTACATTAATGGCATTGTTTATTGATTGTTGTTATACACAGTTTGATTCATTACTCGCATTTTCAATTAAAATGTTTAATGATATTAATGGGCGACTGATTATATCATTCTTAACCAACAGAGTTTTGTATTCAATAATTAAATATTACTGAATGGAAATGTTCAATGAAAAAAATATATCTAGATATATGCTAATTACTGAAATTAAAATTTACAATATGTTATAAATTAAAGACTTTCACAGAGAACTTCAAAATTAATAACACAATAAAGTTGCAAAAACACAAAATATCAAAAATTGATGTAATGTGAAATTTAACATTCATATCAAAACATTAGAAACTTCAAAACTATTCGGTTTCTAAATTAAATTATGAGACCACAGTGACAACTCAAATTCAAAACTTAAAATATTTCTAAATTCCAAAAGCTATCCTGATTCTAAATCAAATTATGAGACCACAGTGACAACTCAAAATCAAAACCTAAAATATTTCTAAACTTCAAAAGCTATCCTGTTTCTAAATCATATTATGAGACCACGATGACAATTCAAATTCAAAAACTCCAAATATTCCCCAAACATCAAAAACTTCAAAATCCCTCAAAATTTTCATTCAAATTCTACATATACCTTCAACCTTCACATATAAGTATAATTTATAACAAATTCCACTTGACATAATTGGCAGGACCTCGGGACCCAAACAGCCGACCTAACGACCGAACCATCACCTTTAACGACCCGAATAAGCCCCTCCCCCTTAATAATTGCGCCTCGCCGCTAACAAGCCAATCTGACTTCACTGTGACAAGCTCGCGGCGCTTAGGATCAGCGGGTATTTGCTCTCTTCCAAGGGAGATGGGTTGGCTTCCACGGGGTTGGGTTGGCTTCCACGGGGTTAGGTTGGCTTCCACGGGGATGGGTTGACTTTCACGAGGTGGGTTGACTTCCACGGGGTTAGTTGGCTTTTATGGGGTTGGGTTGGCTCTCACAGGGATGGGTTGGCTTCCACGGGGTTGGGTTGGCTCTCACAGGGATGGGTTGGCTTCCACGGGGATGGGTTGGCTTCCACGGGGGTGCGTTGGCTTCGAAGGGGGTGGGTTGGCTTCCACGGGGTTGGGTGGGCTTCCACGGGGATGGGTTGGTTTCCACGGAGATGGGTTGGCTTCCACTGGGTTGGGTTGGCTTCCACGGGGATGGGTTGGTTTCCACGGAGATGGGTTGGCTTCCACGGGGTGGGTTAGCTTTCACGGGGTGGGGTTCGCTTCCACGGGGGTGGGTTGGATTTCACGGGGTTGGGTGTACTTCCACGGGGTTGGGTCGGCTTCCACGGGAGTTGGGTTGGCTTCCACGGGGATTGGGTTGGCTTCCACGGGGTTGGGTTGGCTTCCACGGGGTTGGGTTGGCTTCCACGGGGTTGGGTTGGCTTCCACGGAGTTGGGTTGGCTTCCACGGGGTTAGGTTGGCTTCCACGGGGTGGGTTGACTTCCACAGGGTTGGTTGGCTTCCACAGGGTGGCGTGCCTTCCACGGCAGTGGGCTGCCTTCCACGGGGTTGGGTTGGCTTCCACGGGGTTGGGTTGGCTCTCACAGGGATGGGTTGGCTTCCACGGGGTTCGGTTGGCTTCCACGGGGTGGGTTGGCTTCCACGGGGATGGGTTGGCTTCCACGGGGATGGGTTGGCTTCCACAAGGGTGGGTTCGATTCCACGGGGGTGGGTTGGCTTCCACAAGGGTGTTTTGCCTTCCACGGGGGTGGGTTGCCTTCCACGGGGGTGGATAGGCTTCCACAAGGGTGGGTTCGATTCCACGGGGGTGGGTTGGCTTCCACAAGAGTGGGTTGCCTTTCACGGGGGTGGGTTGCCTTCCACTGGGGTGGGTTGGCTTCCACGGGAATGGGTTGACTTTCACGAGGGTGGGTTGGCTTTCACGGGGTTGGGTTGGCTTCCACGGGGTTGTGTTGGCCTCCACGGAGGTGGGTTACCTTCCACGGGGTTTGTTGACTTCCACAGGGTAGGGTGCCTTCCACGGGGGTGGGTTGCCTTCCACGGGGTTGGGTTGGCTTCCACGGGGTTGGGTTGGCTTCCACGGGGGTGGGTTGGCTTCCACGGGGATGGGTTGGCTTCCACGGGGTTGGGTTGGCTTCCACGGGGGTGGGTTGGCTTCCACTGGGATGGGTTGGCTTCCACGGGGGTGGGTTGGCTTCCACGGGGGTGGGTTGGCTTCCACGGGGTTGGGTTGGCTTCCACGGGGGTGGGTTGGCTTCCACGGGGTTGGGTTGGTTTCCACGGGGGTGGGTTGGCTTCCACTGGGGTGGGTTGGCTTCCACGGGGTTGGGTTGGCTTCCACGGGGTGGGTTGCCTTCCACGAGGGTGGGTTCGATTCCACGCGGGTGGATTGGCTTCCACGGGGGTGGGTTGGCTTCCACGGGGGTGGGTTGGCTTCCACGGGGATGGGTTGGCTTCCACGGGGGTGGGTTGGCTTCCACGGGGTTGGGTTGGCTTCCACGGGGGTGGGTTGGCTTCCACGGGGGTGGGTTGGCTTCCACGGGGGTGGGTTGGCTTCCACGGGTTGGGTTGGCTTCCACGGGGGTGGGCTGGCTTCCACGGGGTTGGGTTGGCTTCCACAGGGTGGGCTGCCTTCCAGTAGGGTGGGTTGGCTTCCATGGGGATGGGATGGCTTCCACGGGGTTGGGTTGGCTTCCACGGGGGTGGGTTGGCTTCCACGGGGTTGGGTTGACTTCCACGGGGGTGGGTTGGCTTCCACTGGGGTGGGCTGGCTTCCACGGGGTTGGGTTGGCTTCCACGGGGTGGCCTGCCTTCCACTAGGGTGGGTTGGCTTCCATGGGGATGGGATGGCTTCCACTAGGGTGGGTTGGCTTCCATGGGGATGGGATGACTTCCACGAGGGTGGGTTGGCTTCCACGGGGTTGGGTTGGCTTCCACGGGGTGGGCTGCCTTCCACTGGGGTGGGTTGGCTTCCATGGGGTTGGGTTGGCTTCCACGAGGGTGGGTTGGCTTCCACGGGGGTGGGTTATCTTCCACGGGGATGGGTTGGCTTCCACGGGGGTGGGTTATCTTCCACGGGGATGGGTTGGCTTCCACGGGGGTGGGTTGGCTTCCACGGGGGTGGGTTGCCTTCCACTGGGGTGGGTTGGCTTCCATGGGGTTGGGTTGGCTTCCACGAGGGTGGGTTGGCTTCCACGGGGATGGGTTGGCTTCCACGGGGGTGGGTTGGCTTCCACGAGGGTGGGTTGGCTTCCATGGGGTTGGGTTGGCTTCCATGGGGTTGGGTTGGCTTCCACGTTTCCACACACTAAATCACCCTAGCCAAAACACCTTACCTAACTGTGCACAAAACCCACAATATATAATACTAAGTCAACTATTGACTTATTAAAATGTATCTAAGCCAGTATTTGACTTAGAGCGTTGGGTGTCCGCGGTGTTGCATGAGAGGCATAGTAACGCAAGCGGTTACTTGAACACAAGAAACAGCATTGAGTGAAGAGCAACGGGAGCCGGTCGGCCGAGCGGACAGCACGCGGGGCTTGTGATCCTGTGGTCCTGGGTTCGATCCCAGGCGCCGGCGAGAAACAATGGGCAGAGTTTCTTTCACCCTATGCTCCTGTTACCTAGCAGTAAAATAGGTACCTGGGTGTTAGTCAGCTGCTACGGGCTGCTTCCTGGGGGTGGAAGCCTGGTCGAGGACCGAAAGCCCCGAAATCATCTCAAGATAACAGCAACAGCTGGCAGCTTGCACAAGCATGACGATGACCAGCAGGGGTCTGGGTGTGCAACAATGGTCGACACTGGTCAAGTAAACTCACGTCATAGTTAATGGACATGTTAAAAACATGTAAATTTATACACACACAAACACACACACGCACGCACAGTGAGGAGACACATACATTAGGAAGTGATGTGGTGGAGGCTGACTCCATACACAGTTTCAAGTGTAGCTATGATAGAGCCCAATAGGCTCAGGAACCTGTACACCAGTTGATTGACGGTTGAGAGGCGGGACCAAAGCGCTAGAGCTCAACCCCCGCAAGCACAACAAGGTGAGTACAACTAGGTGAGCACACACACACACACACACACACACACACACACACACACACACACACACATATATGTTAACGACATGTTTACAGGCGTAGAGTCCTACATGTCGATGTTCGCGGATGACGCAAAGTTGATGAGAAGAGTTGTGACAGATGAGGATTGTAGGATCCTCAAAGAGGACCTGAACAGGTTGCAGAGATGGTCAGAAAAATGACTACTGGAGTTCAACACGAGCAAATGTAAAGTTACGGAAATGGGACTAGGTGATAGGAGACCAAAGAGACAGTACACAATGAAGGGGAACTGCCTACCTGTGACGACGCGAGAAAGTGACCTGGGTGTGGACGTAACACCTAATCTATCTCCTGAAGCACATATAAATAGGATAACGACAGCAGCGTACTCTACACTGGCAAAAGTTAGAACATCATTCAGAAACCTAAGTAAGGAGGCATTTAGGGTGCTTTACACTGCCTATGTGAGGGCCAGTCTTAGAGTATGCCGCCCCATCATGGAGTCCCCACCTGAAGAAGCATATAAGGAAACTGGAAAAGGTTCAGAGGTTTGCAACGAGACTCGTGCCAGAGTTACGAGGGATGGGGTATGAGGAGCGCCTGAGGGAACTGTGCCTTACGACACTACAAAGAAGAAGGGAGAGGGGGGACATGATAAGAACGTATAAAACACTGAGGGGGGATTGACAGAGTGGACATAGACGAAATGTTTACACGGAATAGTAATAGAACGAGGGGACATGGATGGAAGCTTGAAACTCAGATGAGTCACAGAGATGTTACGACGTTTTCGTTTAGCGTGAGAGTAGTGGGAAAATGGAATACACTTAAGGAACAGGTTGTGGAAGCAAATACTATTTATAATTTTAAAACTAGATATGATAGGGAAATAGGACCGTAGTCATTGTTGTAAACAACCGATGCTCGAAAGGCGGGATCCAAGAGTCAATGCTCGATCCTGCAGACACAAATAGGTGAGTACACACACACACACACACACACACACACACACACACACACACACACACACACACACACACACACACACACACAAGGGTGACCAACACCAGCGTGAGGGAGAGAGAGATGTGTGCAGAGGATGAGGTCGAACCCTCGTCCATCATGTCGCGTTCAGGACCAGACAACTGGACTGCGACGCATCGACCCCTTCCCCCACATCTCTCTCCTCTCTTCCACCCCCTTCTTTCTCCCCTTCCCTCTCTATTTCCCCTTTCTTTCCCTTATCTAACCTCCCACCTCCCCTGATCCCCCCCCCCCACGTCCATCCCCCCACTGTCCCAGGTTCTTTATTGGCCCCGATTAACGAGATTTAATGGTTCAATATTCCCATCAATATATTTGATGGTTCCCGATTTAACGAGATAACGAGACTTGATGGTTCAATACTTTAGAGAAAAGTTGAGAATTAGGAGAGTCCTTATTAAGGTAACTTGTGTTCCTTGAAGGTGCCAGGGGGGCTAACTGCACCAGGGTGAGAGTAAGTCGTGGCCCTCGAAGGTGCCAGGGGGGCTAACTGCACCAGGGTGAGAGTAAGTCGTGGCCCTCGAAGGTGCCAGGGGGGCTAACTACACCAGGGTGAGAGTAAGTCGTGGCCCTCGAAGGTGCCAGGGGGGCTAACTGCACCAGGGTGAGAGTAAGTCGTGGCCCTCGAAGGTGCCAGGGGGGCTAACTACACCAGGGTGAGAGTAAGTCGTGGCCCTCGAAGGTGCCAGGGAACAAGAGTGCCTCTAGTGGCACTTTTGTTGTCACTTGGCCAGTTTTATGCCTGGTTGTTACCGGTTTATGATTCACTTTAGGAGCCATCTACTAGCCGTGATGTTACCATTTGTCATCTACCATGTTTTAGTGTTGTATTTTACATTCTACATTATACAACGAGCTAATGTTGCTTTCTGTCTCCATATAAAGCGATTGTTACGTTAGTCTTTCAGCTAAAAGATGATTGCCATCTTTTGTCATCTAAGAGGAGATTAATGGAGCCCCCTTTGTGTTCCTGGAGAGTAATAATGGTGTCGTGATTGTCTTGAGAGACCTTCATTACCCTCTAGTGCCTTACGGAGAGTGTTCCACGCAGTGTTCTTCACGGTGACCTCAACACTAAGGTTGGTGTTCCTATCCTCCTTCTACAGGAGAACTTATAGTCCTATCTGTTCTCTACTTGTTCTTGTTGCCTTGTTTGAGAGTTGAAATATGTTTATGATGTCTGTTGTTTTCTAGGTTCTCTAGTCTGTTGTCTGACGTCATGCAGGTTCTCCTGATATTCTCCAGATTCTCTAGAGGGCGTCTGATGTCCTCTAGATTATCTAGAGGCTCTAGGGGGATGTTTGACGTCATCTAGATTATCTTAGAGGGTGTGAGATACCATCTCTAGGTTCTCTAGAGGGTGTCTGATACATACACCACTTGTTGTATGTCAGCTAAGACACACAGGTGTTTTCCGTCATCTTGAGACACATAAACCGCCTGTTTTATGTATCCTCGAACAGAAACACCACCAAGGATACAGTCCTGTTCCCTGTTGCCTAGTACACACGTAAGCACTCCCTCAAGTCACTGTTCTTGACCTTCATACGGCCGTTGGAATGAATAACCTGTTGAAATGAATACGGGCCGGGTCACACGCGTGACCTTGGAGAGAATTGACCCCATGGTTGTACAGGTCAGAGGTCTATCTCTGACCTTGGTCTACCATTCCAAGGTCTACTCCTTGGAATGGTAGTATAGGTCAGAGATCTACCACTGGGAATGGTTGTTAAGACTGTTCTACCAATGGGGGTTTAACAATGTATGCCGCATTAATTGGCTATTTAGAACAAAAGAGTGAACAGTTGGATGGCTTTCAAAGCACTGATGAAGGCGTTATAAAGAATATATGAGATGGGATAGAGTGAAATCCTTTTATATGAATAGCAGAGTGGATCTTAAGACTATAGAAATCAAACCCAAACCTTCCATGTCAACACTTGGAGCTATGTATGTAAATCAGCATGAGTGCGTTGGTGGCGTGCGTTGGTGAAGTGCGTTGGTGGCGTGCGTTGGTGGAGTGCGTTGGTGGAGTGCGTTGGTGGCGTGCGTTGGTGGCGTGCGTTGGTGGAGTGCGTTGGTGGAATGCGTTGGTGGCGTGCGTTGGTGGCGTGCGTTGGTGGAGTGCGTTGGTGGCGTGCGTTGGTGGAGTGCGTTGGTGGCGTGCGTTGGTGGAGTGCGTTGGTGGAGTGCGTTGGTGGAGTGCGTTGGTGAAGTGCGTTGGTGGCGTGCGTTGGTGGCGTGCGTTGGTGGCGTGCGTTGGTGAAGTGCGTTGGTGGCGTGCGTTGGTGGCGTGCGTTGGTGGCGTGCGTTGGAGTGCGTTGGTGGAATGCGTTGGTGGCGTGCGTTGGTGGCGTGCGTTGGTGGAGTGCGTTGGTGGCGTGCGTTGGTGGCGTGCGTTGGTGGAGTGCGTTGGTGGCGTGCGTTGGTGGAGTGCGTTGGTGGAGTGCGTTGGTGAAGTGCGTTGGTGGCGTGCGTTGGTGGCGTGCGTTGGTGGCGTGCGTTGGTGAAGTGCGTTGGTGGCGTGCGTTGGTGGCGTGCGTTGGTGGCGTGCGTTGGTGGAGTGCGTTAATTATTGTAGTGACTGTGAGAAACATCCCATCTGTACGACACATTACCAGTGTGTCCGGATAAGACAACCGGACACATCCGGCCGGCAAACGTCTTCAGCAAGGGCGATGCCTTAAACTCACCACCTCACGGCGAGGCGTCGGTTAACAGAGGACCAACGGGGCTCCAGTTTAACCGGATGTCCTCCGGTTAACGCGACATGATCACCAGCCGGAAACAACGCATCACTCACAACCGGATTAAGACGTGTATGTGAACCTTTTCCATAAGGATCATTCTCCAGCAGCAACACAATGAAATATTCGACCAAAACAGCACTCTTCAATATGACTTTCTTGCTCGTAAGAGGAGAGAACGCATATTGAGATGCATCGAGAGATTTTAATATTAAATTTTTGCAATATTGCAAAAATATAAATTAATAAAATTAAAATTAATAAAATTAATAAAACTAAATATTTATCAATATTTTGCTTTCTTGTAAACAAGTCAGAGATAGATAAAAATTTACAATGATAAAAATACAAATAAAAATACAAAATACAATTCCAAAATACACCTAACAATTGCATGAGAATGTTAGGT